CCTCAGTGGTGTCTCTTCAAGTTACTGTTGAGTTTACCTACTGTCCAGAACAAGTCTACATCTTCTGCTGTCACTAGTGAACAAAATCAAATTTTGAAGATCTCAATTTAATGAAGGCACATAAATCAGTGAGTAGAAGAATGTGTAAGAGATAAAGACTGGTGGTGTGACACTACCCTGAAACAGCTTCATGTTGTAAAATGACACAGACACTCCATAAAGTGATCAGTGGAGAAATTTCCTAGATTTGTATGGCAGAATGGGAAAGACATTTAGGAAAGGAACTGAATGAAAATGGTAATAAGGAGAAAAATAGAAAAACAGAAAGAGGCTAAAGAAGAAAGATTTAGGCTATCATTACCTATGTATTCATGCAGCTGTTTTAATTAATCTCTACTGCTGCATTCTACACAACTTCTGTTGTGCCAAAATGAATGTCTGGGTAATCATGCAGTGAACTGGACAGGAATCTGGTTGATGATGGTTACTTTTCAGCACATAACTCAAATTAAAATAACAGGAATAAAATGCACAGAAGCTGGGAACACTTAATCTGGCACTGCTGCTAAGACGATCATGGAATCATAGCCCCAAGGGCAGATATAGCAAAGAGACTGGATAAATGAGCAGGTCTGGGACTGAGGGCTAAGACTGGTGATGCTACATCTAGTTTGATGCAGGAATTACATCACCACTCCAAAAAGCTTTACACCAAATACAGTAATAACATAGCTGAAGATACAGTCATTTCAGAGAGCTGATTAAAAAAAAAAAAAAAAAGTTTTCTTTGCTTGTTTTTGTTTTTGTCCTTGATCCCCCTAGTCCATTTCGGAGTAGCCATAAGATCATCAGATCCAAACGGAAGGAAATGGCTAGATGAAGGAACTGCCTCTTTGCAGTCAGATTTTTACGCTACACAATAAGAGAACTAAGGCTAGTCAATAAAGAATTAAAATACATGACAGGAAAGGTCAAATATTGAGTGAAGTCGAAAGAGGATTGAAAAAAATAGGAAGAGACAATAGTTCACAAAACAGAAGAGTCAAGATAGCGACTATAGCAAGACATTTGTACGTGTACATATTCTGGGCTGAAAGTTAAAACAAACTAGGAGGGGGTGCAGGATGCTGAAACGAGATCTGAAACAAATAAACAAACAAACAAACAAAAAGCTAGAAAACTCACAAGACTAAACAAAACCAGAATAGTGAATAAAATACATCTATATTTATTAGCTGCTGGCAGAGAACTGCCTGAAGAACATTAAGACTCACAGGAGTGCCTGGAAAACCCCAGACACCTGTCATGCAGAGGAAAAAAGAATTTCCCCAACTCACAAGAGAGCAGAAAAGAAAGAGAATGAAATCAGGTTGATTTGGAAATGTTACTTTCTAGATATTTTCATAGGGGCAGACCTCACCTAGACTGAATTTTAACTTTTCCTGTATATTTTAATTTACATGTGCGCACCTACACAGACACTTTCATTTCAACAGTGCTAATGCTATTTATATTCTCCACTGGGAGCTTGCCACAGTATTTTTAATAATGCCTAAGCAACCCCACCTCTCCCTTGACTCCTGCACATTTCAGTAAGAATACATTTTAACTTTAGAACTTCTATATCTTCACTTAGGAAACTGGAATTAACGTGCCCTCAAAAGACTGTTACCTATTTAGAGTGAATTAACTAGTGAAGTTAAAGACACAATGTCATGGTACAGGGGGCAGAGTATCACTTTCAGTTCTGTATTACTCCTACAGCTGCCTTCCCACCAGTGCTTACAGGGCTGTACTATGCAATGAAGTAATGAGTTGATGTGAGTTAGAATTAATTTTCTTTCTGTTAAATCAGTTATCTAGTCCCTTGTGTCATCTCATCAAGACTGAAACATGGTGAGGAAACAGCGTGGGAACACAACCAACCAGCTGGGGAATGTGAAGCAGTGGGAATTATTAAAATATGATTACTACCAAAGCCTTCCTAAAATGAAAACACAATCTCAACAGACAGGGGAAAAAAAAAAGGGAGGGGGGGGAAGAAAACAAAAAAAAACCACACAGATTTGTTTGCTACTAACATAATTTTTCAGTGAAAGTAAACTCTGGCTAGAATAATGTATATTGATGAAATGAGGGATTTGGAAGAAAATATGTATATGTATGTATATGTACAACCACATCATGGGCACTAAGATTGAACGGTGTTGTGGGAGTTTTTTCATAATCCTGCACCTGCAACATTTTCTTTCACTTTTTTAGTGCAGTGATCTCTGTGCTTTAAACTATTTTTTTTTTTACAAAAAAAGTAGTTCAATTACCAATAGCCATACTGCCTCCTCCACTTCATCTGCTAACAAGATTTATGGGGTTTTTTTGCCATTGGATTTCACAGTTGCTCATACACTGTGGCAACGAGGCGTAGAAACATCAGATTCTGGAGGGGAAAATACGCCATTATTTATATACTTTATAATCCTCACTACCATCATCTGTCCAGCTTCTTCTTTATGTTTGTAAATCCTCCACCCCAGGCTCACATTCTTTTCTCTCTTAATATTGTTTTTGCAACGAAGTCAGGCTGCTGCTTGTTTGCCACTTTTCATGCATATCAAATAAGCAAACAGTGAGAGGAAAGAGGAGGTATAGCCGCTCTCCCAAGCTCAATGTCAGCCAGTGGAAAAAGCAATTCAAGGAAGATCTCAGGAAGCTCTGAGATTAAATTATTCTGCTGCCCTTCAACAGAAATAAATCCAAAGTCTACCCACTACTTAAAAGCTGCAGAGGAATTTACTAAAGAGCAACATTTCTTTTTTCTTACTGATAGAATTAGAAAAAATGCTCCAAGAAAATATGGTGAAAGGGATCATAAAAACCACAGGCAAATGTGTTTGGAGAGAGGAGATTTTGGAAGATGATGTAGCTGTTTCATAGGTAACCCTACTTTTGACATATAGAAATGCACTGTAGGTAATTTCCATGAGTTGTGGAAATTCTCAGGAAGGCACAATCTGCTTAACCTTCTGAAGGCAAGCATGGAGCTGAGTTAGTTTTACTTTCCGTTCAGACAGCACTTACAGTCAGTACTTGGTTATTTCCCATCATGTCAAACAAGTATGCATGAAACTTTAGCACTGTTTCTCTTATATATTCCTTTCTCCTCTTCCATTTTCCTTTCATGCACTCAACTTCTGTGTTTAGCAGTAACTTTCTTTCCTTCCTCCCAAGGGAGTGAAAGGTAACAATTCCCAAGAACTGATTTCTTTCCTAGAAAGCTCACATTAGAGCAAGCTCATCCTGAGCCAATGAACGGACACTGTTAAAATTCAGCATAGATTGCCAGCTTTGTATATTCATGTGGTATCAGATCACAGAATCATAGAAGCATTTGAGTTCGAAGGGACTCTTAAAGGTCAACTCCCCTGCAATGAACAGGGGAGTTGACCTTTAAGGGTCCCCTCTTTCAGTTTGAAACCATTTCCCCTTGTCTTACCAAAATGGACACTGCTAAAGAGTCTGTCTCCTTCTTTCTTATACCCCCCTTTAGATATGGAGAGCCACTATTAGGACTTCCCAGAGCCTTCTCTTCTCTAGCTAAACAGCTCCAGATCTCTCATTCTGTCCTTGTAGGGTAGGTGCTGTATCCCTTGCATTTTTGTGGTCTTTCTCTGCGTGTCCACATCTCTCATGCAGCGAGGATTCTACATCTGGACACAGTACTCCAGGCAAGGCCTCACCAGTGCAGAGTAGAGGGGTAAGATCACCTCCTTCGACCTGCTGGCCATGCTTCTTTTGAAGCAGCCCAGGATATGGTTGGCTTTCCAGGCTGTGAGGGCACACTGCTGGCTCATGTCCAGTTTCCATCCACCAGTACTCCTAGTTCCTTTTCAGCAGGGCTGTGCCCTATCCTTCCATCTGCCAGTTTGAACTGGTAGCATGGGTTGCCACAACCCAGGTGCAAGACCTTGCACTTGGATTTGTTGAAACTCAAGAAGTTCACCTGGGCCCAAGACCAAGACCAAGCCTGTCTAGGTCTCTCTGAATAGCATCCCATTGATGACACCACATAGCCTGAATATTGAGTCAGAGGACACACAAGGATCATGGAGTTCAACTCCTGGCTCTACAGAGGAACATGCAAAAAATCAGACCAGATATTTGAGAGCGTTTTCCAAACACTCCTTGAACTCTGTGAGGCCTGGGGTCATGACCACCTCCCTGAGAGCCTGTTCCAGGGCTCAACCACCGCCTGGTGAAGTATCTTTTCCCAACACCCAAGCTCGACCCTCCCCTGACACATATCCATGTCTTCCCTCGAGTCCTGTCACTGTCACCAGAGAGCAGAGCTCAGGAGCAGGCTGCCACGAGGCCTCCTCAGCCTCCTCTACTCTGGGCTGAACAAAGGGACCTCAGCTGTTCCTCATATGCCTTTTTCTGTAGACCCTTCATTAACTTTGCAGCCTTCTTTTGGACACTTTCTAATCGTTTTATGCCCTTTGTACCGCGGTGCTCAATGCTGCACACAGCCCTCGAGGTGAGACCACACCAGCACAGAGCAGAAGAGGCAATCCTGATTTTTTTCTCCCTGCCTTCAGCTAATCTTCCCAGTTTCAATTCCTATACACAGAGGATTTCTGCATTTCTCACGCGACCCAGTGACTCGGACCCAAACAGCACTGTGCAGTATGCATCACCGGCACGTTAGCACTCGGGGTGCGCTATGAGGACACTAAGCGCAAATCACGCCCGTAGCCCCCGGCGGAAAGCCCCGCGTAGAGAAAAGAGGGAGCGGAGCAGGTCAGCCGTGGCACCGCCTACGCTTCCCCTCAGCCGCCCCCAGCGGCCGCGGGGGACGCACCACAGCCAGGCTCCGGAAGAGCCCAAGCGACGCCAAAGAAGGGGCGCCCGCTGCTCGCACGGATTGTAGCGGCCGCTGGCTCGCCCCGCCCCTCCGCCCCGCCGGCGCAACCCCGGGGCGGTGCTGGCACCGAGGCGCGGCGGAGAACAGTAGCTCGCTCCGCCCGGCGCAGCCCCTACTCTTCCCCCCCGTCCCGCCGGGGCCGTGGTTTCGGCCGGAAGCGGAGGGCGGTGCTGGCGCCGAGCTCCGGCTGCGCTCTCCGGCGAACAATAGTGGAGTGCGGCGCGGGGCGGTTGGCGGTGCGAGGGGTGCGCGTTGGGAAGGGGGACGGTGCGGCGGCAGCTGCGGCTTGGGGGTCGGTGGCGGCGATGTGTTGGGCACGGGGAGGGCGCGAGGAGCTCGGGCAGAAGGACGGGACGGGGCTGCGAAGAAGGAGGGAGGGGTGAGCGGGTCGGGGGGGCGGTGAGAGGGGCTCGTTCCGCCGGGGCTCTGGGAGCACCGTGCGATGTGGCCGCCGCCCGCCGCGCCGCCTCTCGTGTTCTGAGAAGGAAACTTGGCCGGGACGGAACGGTCCTGCCCTACACGCGGCTGGGCTTGGGGGAGCAGTATGGGGATATTGCCGGGGTGCTTGGAGTAACAGTCTTGCGCCTTGTTTCCTCCTTTTTCAGAGCACGATGAACGAGGAGCAGTTCGTCAACATCGACCTGGACGATGACAACGTGTGCAGCGTCTGCAAGCTGGGCACCGAGAAGGAGACGCTCTCGTTCTGCCACATCTGCTTCGAGCTGAACATCGAAGGTACGGTGTTAAAGGGGCTCCCGTTGTGCCACTGCCCTGGTGTGTGGAGCTGGGTGCAGACGGAGCTCGTTGAAAAGCTCCCGCAGAGCTTCGGAAAGTTGTGCGCGAGAAGTTTTCTTACTGACCAAATTAAGTTCCTTCCTGGTAACAGTAGGTTTTTGAGGCTTTCTAAAATAACACTTGCAAAGATGTGATCAGGTTTCAGCAGCTTCCGCAGACCTCTGGCGTCAGTTCAGGTGGAAAGCACCGTGCGCTCGGCCTTCACTCAGCACTTCAGTCAGTGGTAGGGGAACTACAGATGGAACTCAGTTCAGCTGTGAATCTTATCGCATGATTTTCTTGGAATCAGATGAGTGTTTGATAGAAATTATCAGAGGTTTGGTTGTGTGCTTTCATAAGATGATACGTGCAACATGATAAAACCAGATTCATCATCACAGCATGTTAAAGTGTCATATGGAATCGCAGAACTGTAGGGGTTGGGAGGGACCTCCAGAGATCATCTGGTCCAACCCACTGCTAAAGCACTTCCCTGTGGTTTATGAACTGTGAAGTAAGAGTTTTTGCCATTTTTAAAAGGCTGGCCTTGTAAGCATTGTTTCTGACCTCCAAAATTACATAGGTTCAGTAAAATGTTCTTCTGTACAGTTTTACAACTTGAAGCCTTGTTTATTGAATGAATTCATCTTGTTACTTTTAGTACATTAGAGATTTCCCATTTTTAAATCAAGTAAGCTCTTATGGTTTTTTCTTAAACATAAGCACCGTTACTTGATTTTTGGGTATTCCACTTACAGAAAGTGGTATTTACCAATGCTGCAGGCATGTGACCACCTAGGCTAATCTAAACTGCTGAGGGCGATTGACTTTAAAGCTGTTTCATGAATGTTTCTGTTTTTTGGTGAGAGTAAGATTCAGTTTGTCTGATGTATGTGAGTACACTGAAACTTCTTACACCCAACTCTGATGGGACTGTGCTGTGATCTATGAGCACTGTGCCCGGTGGTCATGTTGTTTGTTCTGAATCTCAGGAACATAAGGCCATTATGGCTTTTTTTTTTTTTTTTTTTCCTTTTGCATAGCAATATTACAGTGTTAATATCTTGATCATTGCAAAATAAAAAATATTCTTTTTATCATTTTCTGATCATTCTGTCTTCTGTGCCCTATTTTGATAAGATGTTACTTTTATAGGCAGTGGAGCACTGTCTCTGTAAATGACTTTAAAATTTGTCTCTATAAGAATTTTCAGCTGACCCAATGTGTAAGCTGATTCTTTACCATATTCTGTACCATATTCCCCCTACTTCTGGCATATCTGTTGCTTTCATCTCCTGTGTTTTCCTATGATAAAGACTATGATTTATATATATATATATATATATATATAACAGCAATTTTGTAACAGTTCTGGATAGGGAATTGAATGGATAATTCACTAACTCAGTTTATTATATTGGATGTTTTCTTATCAACTTGCCACTTACATTTTAACAGACCTCGTATAACTACTTGTTGCTCAGAATCAAAGTTATGTAAACTCTGTAAATGTACTATCCTAGATGTACAAGTATGGGTCGTTTTTGCTGATAGTTTCTTCTACTTTAAAATCATATTTAAAAATCCAAGCAGTTAAAACACATCACAACTCTCGTTTTGTTCAGTTATTATTTTAAGTGAAATAGGATGTTATAGATATTCATGCAACAGTTAGGGCTGCACTGAAGGATTGCTCCGTTTTAGTGTTGATGTGCACACCTACCTTCTCCCTCTGCGACATAGTTGCAACTAAGCATCTTGCAGGATGCTTAAGTATTCCACTGTTTGCAGCAGCCTGTGGCAACTTTCACATGAAATTCTGGAAGCGGTTTTCCCAATTTCCTTGTTTAAAATGGCATAGTATTCTAATGCTTTAATGGAAACAGAATTTTTTCACTGATTTCATTCCTGCCAGCATCACTTACCTCAGAGCTCAGTCAGTTGTAAATCCTGGCACATTAAAATGACCTAGCTTAAAATTCAAGCTGCCCAAAGCAGACTTCCTTAAAACAAAACTTATTGTACAGAAAACTGTAGAAAAACTATTGTACAAAAGTCACAGCTAACTGCACATTATATATGAGTATTAGTGAATCTGTGTGTCTTCACATCTGTGAATTCAGCAGCTGTCAAAGTTTGTGTCGATGGTAATGTTCTAGATCAGTTAAGGAGGATGAATAATTAGAACCAAGTAAAACAGGGAACACCCCAAATCTTTAATGACTCAACACACATCTTCCTGCCTTGTTATGGGCCTCAGCTGCTGTTTGTTTTTATATAGCTTTGTTTGGACAATAGATTGATAATGGTGCATGATTGAAATAAATATTCAAGTTCTTTTTCCAGTCATTTTATACAGAAGACTCCTGTACAGAAAGCTTTGTCTGCCTTAGCTAGATAATTGCTGAATTTCTGAACAAGAAAAATGTTTATGCTGTCATAAAACCTTTGTTTTTAATCAGAAATATTGTCTCTGTCATATTGAATACTAGACTTCTAATGCTTAAATGGAAGAGAAAAAAGGTGGCTTAAGACAGGGTGGTTCTTCTCAGTGTTTTTGTTAAGTCACAAAAACAACTGGTTTGAGTGCAGCTTGGAGTTCAGCTCTGATGTCTATCACTGAATTTATTCAGGAGTGGTGTATGTGGATAATAGGGCCCATTTCTCTGAAAGCTTCCTGGAAGGGAACTTTTTTGGTAACAAAACAAGAAGAAAAGGGCAAATGGGCGTACAGAATAAACAAGAAGCCAAGATGCAACTTTTAAACTTTCTCCTATTATGTTGTCAACTTTTCTTGAGGAACAGGGAGAAATTAAGGCAGAGGAGAGGCTTTTGCTGATCTTCAGTCTAAATGTGGGTGGACAGAAGGACAGTATTCTTGTCTGTCATGCTTTCACTGTCTGCTTAGCTGCTTTGAGGATTCATTTGAGGAAGCTGAGTGGACTAAGCTAAGTGAAATCGGGTGATTTAACACGTTTTGTTGTTAACGTGATGTGTGAAGTTTTAAAGTACTTAAATATGAAATGCAAAGCTGAAATAACAGCACTTTGTTTTAAAATCTTAGGTAGGATTTAGAGTATATGGGTACTACAGATCTGCTGGGATTTGACATTGGCCTTTTGTATGCCTTCTGTAAGCAAAGTGGACGGAGATTGTTGTGTACTGTCTTGGTTTTGAGTAGGTGCAGTGTTAGTAATCTGTGACTGAAACAGGAAGTGTTTTAAATTCACGTGTAACAATTGTGTAAGTCAGGAAATAAGGCAGTGTATGTTAGTTGGAGGCTAGTTTTTTCTCAGGAGCCTTTTCATTTATGGTTTTAAAACTTGTAATATTCACAGTTCAGTTTTTATTATTTGTCATAGATGGCATGTTTATCTTACCCTGTTTTTATGCTGTGGCATATCTTAATGCAAAACTGTTTTAAAGTGTGTTAGTTTTCTGAAAATCAGCAGTGTGTAGTATGTGGGAAGATCTGATAGAACTGATTTTTACTTACGGATTTGCTTGACTGGTGCTGTTAATTGATCACTTGCTTCTGCTTCTGTTTAGAATTGAACAGCGGCTGAATGGTAAATGTTGAAAGTTGAAACCTAAATCTGGATTGCAGGCCTTCTAATGTGAAAGGTGGGATGGGGGAATAGATAACCCAATAGTTGTGCTGATTAATGTTAAATTAATGTTAAATTTCCATGATACTTTAAAGGGCAGATAGACTCAGTATTTTAGGGAATTTCATCATAAGTTTTAGTGCATCCCAGTTTCAAGGTTGAGACAAAGATGCTAAAAAAAAACCAACCAAGACATTAATTTATGTTTTGTTTTCCTTTCTGTTTTCCTTGTTTTCCTTTTTTTTTTTTTTTTTTTGCTAAGGTCTATAAGGTCTTGTATAATATCCTTATTCTGTTTTCTCTGTTTTCATATTTGAAAAATGGGATTTCATTCTTAATAGTTTCACTTTTTTCCTTTTATTCTTTTCAGAAGAATATCTCACTGAAATGAAATAGATGGTAAAGTGTAGTTGAAAAGATTGGTAACTGTTCTACTTCATTCTCTTCCAAAGTATTACACATCCTTTTTTATTTTTTCCCCCCCTCAATATTAATAACAGGAACTGAAATGCATTATTCTGGCAACAAAAACTACAAGCTTTCATCATTGTCCTTTGGGGCAGACAGATAAAATCTTGTGTTAAGGTAGTACTTGCTGTCCAGGGGTATGACTCATTTCTGCAAACTTGAATGGACTTGTAGAACTAGCTGCAGCTTCCAGTAAACCTCTTAACTATGAATTCAAGTCCAAACACATTTGGGGATGGTATTCTTAATCCATGAAGTACCATATAAGTATTGCTGAGTAAGTTGAGCTGTATGGCTTGTTCTGAAACTATATTTTTGAATTTTTTAAGCTAGGGAAGTTCGTACATGTAAGCAAGTGACTTGAACAGTTAATCCTACTTACCTGGTGTTATCCAGAACACAGAAATGCTGTCTCATGGCTTTTGTTCTTTTCTAGGTGATCTGACTAGTCTTTCCTAAGGAAATGTGAGACACATCTAACATGGTGGTTCCTGTAATGAAGTTTTCAGCAGGATTAATTGGTTCATCTACTACAGCAGTAAAATTTTTTCTAGAAAGCATGAATTTCAGAAATTTGTTGAAAGACTGATTGGATCTATGTTTTATCTTATATGGGATATGTTTGCTATATGGTGAAGTATAAGCAAGCTGATAGAAATCTGGTAGGAGGTTTTTTGTCCCCACCTGATGTATGAAATGCGCTGGCTTTATCAAACGAAAGTGAAGAGAGAATTCTAATTTGCAAACAAGATAATATCTACCATTTGTTTTGTTTTGGAAGTTAATGAATGAATACCACTGGCATTTTTCCTTCCAGCTAATCTAGTAAATAGTAAGTTTTAATTCTGCAGTGAAATTGCATGAATACACTTAGAAAGTAGCACT